TAGGGCTGAACGATTTTGGAAAATATTCTAATTGCGTTTTTTTTTTTTTACCTCACTCTTGCGATTTAATATGCGATTATTTTTTAATGTCTTTTTCTCATGTATTTTTCAACGAACACAATCAAATCAATCTGTTTCAGTTGTAAAAACTCCAGTTTTCAGCTCCGCTGCAACTCTGTTTCTGCATTTTTTTGTGTAGCTCCTGGATAGTAAAACCCAGGCTTGGTCACTATATTAATGGGCATCATGTCTTTCACTATGAACTCCGTTATTGCTCGAGTTATTTCCACGTGCCGTTTCAAATCATGTTCATACTGTGTAACACCTTCGAACAGTTCGGTCAGTGATCCCTGTCGGCTGCTACTTTGCTTTCTTTAAGTTGAAGCACTGGTCGTTGGTATTCTAGTCATGCAACTATTGTAAATGGCTTTGCTGTGTTTTTTTAAGTGTTGATAAAGATTTGTGGTGTTACCTCGAGAGGTAGCAACAGCAGCAAAGCAGGTTCTGCACAATACATGTCGTTGCGCAGAGTCTTCTTTTTGATATCCAAAATAATTTCAAACAATGGACGTGCTGCCCCTCTTCCAGATGTATCAGCTTCTGTCGAGCCTGATGCCATTGTTCAACCAGTTAAAGCACTGACTTCTCCTGCTCCCTGCTCTGCTTTGCTCCGCTTCAGATCACGTGACCAGTCAAATTGCAGCCTTCACGATTAGAAAATCTTCTTTTATCATACACCGATATTATTGCAAATGCAGTTAATTGTTCAGCCCTAGTTGTACATGTTTACTCCTCGGAGTGTGTTTCAGTCTATCAATATTAAGGAAATGCTTCTCAGCATAAAGTCAGTTCAACCTCTGCAGGTAGAGCAGCATCAGTAAGAATTGAACACTCAACATTTAAAGCATGTCTTCAGTTTTTAGCAGGACGTTCGTGTTGCCTGATTAAAAAAAAAAGTTCTGAATTTAAACTCGCAGCATAATTGTGTTGTTTATTATATTTAATGTGGATAAAATGATGGATGAAATGTGAAAAACCATTGTCGTTCGCTGCTGAGGACTAGACACAATAATATTTTGCATAATAATGAAAAATATTTCATGAGCCAGTTGACAAATTTTAATAAAAACTCTGAATGTGATGTTTGGATGTCATCAACTTTCGTTAGCACTATTCAACATGGCTGCCACAACACAGCGGTCTTGTCAAACACAAAAATGGTTACGACACACTGAGTTTACAGATACTGAGTTAAATTTGGCGTAACTGAAATTAATCCTCAGGTTTTACTTTGACTGACGATGCAGGAGCTGGTTTTTTATTTTTTTTTCAAATCAACTACTGATATTGAAGTCAGCTCCATCTGTGTGTTAGCAGAATATCTCATTATTACATGACCAATTTGTGTTGGAACTTTTATGAAACCTTTAATGAACATACATCTACAACTTTAAGTCACGCAACTTAAGATGGCCGTTTCATCCGGCTGACTTTAGGAAACATAAAAATGACTATTATTCAGACAAATTCAAAGATATGATTGAGCTAAAATGTGGTGTGGTGGTAGCCGAGCATCATCCCTGACACATACTCTGAGTGCTGCACATTTGTCTAAAACGTTGGCATTAACTGGTAAATTGAGCCACATTTGTCTGTTAAAATAGATCTTACAAACTACTGGAAGTATTTTAATGGCACTCTCAGGAAATGATCATGTAAATAACTTTTGAAGTCACCAATTCAAGATGGCTACCACATGTAAATGGCAGTAACCTATGGCTACAACTTCTGCAGATATTGACCTAACATTTGGTGTGGTCATAGATGAGTCATCCTTAATGCATGCTTTGAGCTCCAGCTTATCTGACAAGATATCACAATATTTCATGAGATTGCCCAAAACATCATTTAAAGGGTTTAACAAAATTACCTTATCTCCATCATTTCTTCTCATACAGTGATTTTCATTCAAAGCCCTGGCATCAGAGGTGGATGACTATCAGCGTTCTTTCAAACAATGCTCGGCCTTTAATTGTGAGCTTTTGTGTGCTCCTTATAATGATCATGTTTAATTTTTCTTAACGGTAGGTCTGTATGATTTTCAAAAGCGTGACTGCAATGTTCGTCGTCAATATTGTGACATTTATGTCAGTAGTGATCAGCCCACGTTTTCTTCCCTCCTCACGACATTCTGTTTGTATTTTAATGTGTCTGACACCATCAGAACCAGGTGTAGGCTTTAAGGACTGTTTAAGTCCATTAGGTTGACCAAATATATTATTAGAGTATTGCGAATGACTGCATGACACTCGGAAAACAAATGTGTAAATTCTTGGTGTCCAAGCCGTCATTTGTCATATTGATACTGTGCATATTCATCACCTGTTGCCATGACAACAACGTTTTGACTTGTTATGCACCCCTAAATAAAGGGAAAGTTCAGATCTATTCAAAATTGCATGTAAGATTTTTAACAATCAGTATTTTACCTGCAGCAGGTGTGCTAAAACTAGCTGCTCCCACTGCCGTTAATGAAAATAATCATCGTGGACATATGAAATAGTGTTAACATTAACTTCTATAAAACATTTTGAGATTCAAGATGTTTTATGACTGCAGCTTAGAGGCTAAAAATAGCAACTGATGTGACATTGTTTGGAGTAATAATGTCCACCATAGTTATGAAAACAGGCTTATTTGTGCAGACAATGTCGGTGAGAGCATTTAAAGCTGTCTTTCTCCTGCCATAGAATAACTGAGGAAATACAAATGTTCTTGTTGCTACTCTCAGGGAGAGAGATCCTGATTTCAAAACTGTGGAACAACGTTGAAGCATTTCTAATCAGCAGATGTCAAAAAATAATTTCTCTCTAACTGTCTGCCTTTGAGACCGTTGTTTAATTATGAAGTGCAAATCCCTCAACAGGAGTAATCCACTTGGGTCTGGACTAGGGATGTACAATATTGGATTTTTGGCAGATATCCGATATGCCGATATATTAAAACTTATTTGGCCCATAACCGATACCAATACTGATGTTTTTTCCCATAGACCTACTTACACTGGATAGATTATTCTGCATCTTTGTCTTGCTACCAAATGCAGATGCAAAAAAGGGGACGGAAAATCATGTAACACTATATAAAAATATAATATACTGTATATAAAAAAACAGTGCCTTTTATATCGGTGAGTTATTTTGATGGAATGGCCGATGTCTGATATTTAACTTTATCACTAATATCCGCCGTTACCATGCCAATAATATTGTGCATCCCTAGTCTGGACCCTCACTCAGACTTAGCTTATTAATTTAGCCAGAATTCAAATTTATTTCTTCAAACTGAAGTCATTTAAGGAGTTGTCTGCAACAAGTACGATATTAGTCACTCATAATGTTGTCACCGAGTCCCACTTCAAAAGATCTGAACTGTCCCTTTAGTATGTGTATAAGTATAACGCTGCTAAGTGTCAATAGTTAATGAAACTTCATATCAAATTGTTGCTTTCTTTAAAACACCCCACCTAATTCTGTTCACCCTTCCTAATTTTGCTTTGAATATTGCCCCAAAACGCAGTTCCTTATTGGATTGTGTTGTTTTTATCATTATTTTTTTGGTAATGATATAAAATATTTATCAGCCTAAACTACACTTCAGTGGCGCGACAAAGCAGTGGAACCATAATCGAGCTCTCTCGTGAGCTCCAGTTATTTTCACCGCTGACTGGTTTCTGATCGGGTCGGCGCTCCTCGGCTGCATTTCAAACAGCCGCTGATGAAACGACCTGACTGAACGTGATGAAGTAAAACTTTGTTATTGTAAACTAAGGCTGGACTGTTGGCTTTGTGTTCCTCTGCAGCTGCAGCAGCAGACAAAGTCACAGTGTTGTTGTTTGCTGCTGGTGTCGGAGGACAACCACCAGCTGTTTTGCCAGGTACACACACACACACACACACACACACACACACACTAACATGTAGTCTGCTAACCATTTCAGCAATGACACACCAGAGCGTGATTGTTAACATTTTAAAAACTTGTGATTTTTGGCCTTCGTCACATTTAGGTGGTTGGAGATAAAGTCCTGGAGGAGGAGATCAGCTTTCCGGTGAGCACAGACAAAAAACAGCACTTTTAAAAATTCATTATTTGAAGCTAGAAAAGCTTAATAAATACAGTTTCATGTCATCGTCTTGATTTAATGTTATTTACAGTATCTAAATGTTGGCTACACTTGACTACACATCTAACAGCTAAAATAAAAATTGAAAAAACTGCGGGTGAAAAGTAGCTTAAAGCTAAAAGTTTCAAAACTGTAAAAGGTATAACTAGTTAAACATTAGCTAAAAGCTAAATGTAGCTAAATGGTAGGTAAAAACCAAATCAGCAAAAACTGTCGCTAACATCAGCAAAACAGTAGCCAAAAGCTAAAGATGGATGGATGGATGGATGGATGGATGGATGGATGGATGG